CCAACTAAATAGTTTTCTTGCTCGGAACTGGTTAGGTATTACATCTAGCTGTAATTTAGAGTATTTTCAAGCTCAAATTGAAACAAGATAATATTGAAAAAAAAAAATAATAATTAAAGCATTTAAAAACTGCAACCGTACAAGTGACCGGGCCAGTGTATAAGTAAATAATATTTTCGAGAAAATCTCGCGTATGCAATTTTGTAGCCACCTTATTAGTACGCGTTACTGCAAAATATCGTTGATTCAGCATTTTTTGTTGTCGGTGCTAGATATATTATTCATATAAAAATACTCCATTTTTTCTAAAAAGGGTAATTAAGGAGTGAAATATAGAATTAACATATATTTGTATTGCAAAAAATATATCTACGTATGCTTTGTTCCGCTAGTTTATGTACAATACACTTTTTAATTGGGCTGTTAATTTTGGGAATTTCAAAAAAATTAAGGGTCATTCCATTGAAAAGAGGAAAACGATGTAAATTTAGATATGCCCTAATTATCTCTATTTCAGTAGTAACCTCTTTTTAAATGACTACATTTCATTAATCTGTTGGAAAATATTAAAAAAATTAAAAGAAGTTATAATTTTTGTCCAGTCACCAATTTAAATATTTTTTAATATTTCTATGAAGATTATATAAACCTCATTTTTATTGAAAACGTAAGCGTATAATTCATTTTTTTGCAACACAAAAACATCGTTCGTGAAGATTAAGTGTTTTGGCTAAAATTCATCCTTGAGTACACAAGGAGTTCTTTTCAGTGTCCCACCAGTCACATTCATTCAAATGATAGGTACATTAAACTAATAAATCATTTGGTATTTTTGGTATTAGTTGTCGTTATATGTTAAAAAATATCTTTCGCTGTTATACAAGTTCCGACGACATAAGTAGTAAAAAAAATTGTGAATTGTAATCACATTCTGGAGTAACACAGTCACAATGGAATGGCCCTTAACCATTTTCCTAAGTAAGGCTAGGAATTTATGAAGTTTTTGTTGAGTGCTCATATTGTTGTCTTAGGGCCATGTCATAGGTTGCGTGTCGATAAAGTCGATAACGATGTTTAACTGGTAGTTAGAATTAACCAGACATTGTGCAAACGGTCCTTAATATAGGGCCGTTTACACCATCTCTGGTTAACACTAATCCCCAATTAAACATCGTTACCGACGTTATCGACACAATGTTATATGCATGTAGTCAATAACGTCGGTAACGATGTTTAACTGGAGATTAGTGTTAACCAGAGATGGTGAAAACGGCCCATAGAAAACTTTATCTCTATTTTTTTTAAGTATTTACGGTTTGTTACCTGATAGCATTTGGATAAATCTAGATATTGAAACCTTTATGGGCAATACATGTTTTAAAAATTACTTGCAATAATGTTTGTAATTTCAGTGTTGGTCAGATGACAGTGTTTTGTTTCTTTAAGAAAATTTGGTAAAAGGCATTAATTGGAAAATTATATGAGTGGGTCATGGGAATATCTCCCATTTATTTTTTGAAAATTTCGTCTTTCATCGATTACTTTTATTTCGATTTATTCGATTCAAAAATCGATTTTTTTATTTCGATCTGGCATCTCTAATACACACAAAAAGAAATGACTAGAAGAATGTGCTAATGTTTATGAACTTTGTGCGTAATGAAGTCGTATAATGTCGAACTAAAGTAAAAATACAGTGGGTCGAAATAGCTCATATAAAATTACATTCACAAATGAGTTCTAGATTGGAAGATCTCATCGTCGTAGCTGCACTGATTTTTTAAAATTTTTGAATAGCGAGCGAACATTTTGATGTTAATTATGGGATATATATTTATTCATTCCTCTGACATAGCGATCGTTCCACCTGCCATACCTTTACAGTGCATTTCTCAGAAAGCAACTGATGGTGCTATTCAATTGGTATAGGTAACGGGATACAGGGATACACTTTACTCTTGACGTCTTGCAGGATGTTGGTCATACCATTCGCCACCTGAAAATTCAATATACCAGATATTCTCCTCTAAGGAACTAAGCGAAAGATGGATATAATAGAATATGAAAAGATCGTGGAGATCCTTATGCAGATTACAGTACAAATATCCTACTGACATGAAGTCACAGTGGGGACGGCAAAGATTTACCGCCTCTAAACTGCTCGGTCGGTGAGGCCTCCTTTATATGGCAAATTCTCGTTTAATGTGTGCCTCAAATATGTCTCATATGTCTTATTGACTTTTATTATGGTGTCTGATAAACACACTTTTAGACCACTGTGCACCAATGGCATTAACAAATCACCGCGATCTACCCACTCCATTTCCTGCACAAATCCAGTCGCACCAATTAATGTCCAAGACCGTAATTTTGTATAGGTGTTAGCGGGCTGCGCAAATGGTTTTAATTTTACTGTGCACTATAGCATATTTTAGTAAACGCAGTAAGATTTTTTTCTAAAAGTCATTAATATAAATCAGTCACTGACTTTTATTTTTAAAATCATACTTATAAAAGTCATTTGTATAAGTCTTAGTAAATTTGGTTCTCCAACACATTCTTAGCTGCGAAAAATGATAATGACTTAAAAAATATAAGTCGGTGACTGATTTTTATTAATGACTTTTATACATAAAAGTCTTCAATAATTGTTATCTAAGACATATATGTAATATAAAAATCAAAAATAACTGTTATTTACATAAAATTTGGATAAGAAATAAAAATAATTGTTATTTCGGATTAATAAAATACAAATCAAAAATAATCGTTATTTTTTTAATTTTGCATAAGTATTACAAATATGAAATGATTCTTGCTGAAAAAACAAATCGAGTGGTATGTATCACTTAGTTGTAGAACATTTCCTTCATAGTGAATTTTTCAATGACAGTTTTCATCAATAACTGTTATGTTCGGTCCCTGGAAAATAGTGATTTATACCAAATACACCAAAATAACGGGACTACACAGCGAGTGCAGTAAAAGAATTGGGTGTGCAGTAAACGGCAGCAGTTTATATGTTCAATGTTAGTCATTTTGTTTTAGTACGCCGCGACACAAGTATCAAATATTATTTTAATAAAAAACATATGTACATATATGGGCAAATCTATAAAAAAGGTACACTTTCAAAACAAAAAGTTTAATTTTTTAATTTTTGGGCACACTTATGTTTTATATATGATTCTATTCGTAATCTTTCAATAAATCAATAAATATAAGTGTAATTCATTTCATCAAGTTACACGAAGAATAAACATTTGAAAAAGAAAACAAATGAATAAGCTGGGTTCAAATTACGCTGTGCAAATGGTAAATTTTGAGCAAAGATTTTAAAAGTTGAACTTAATTGGGACGTTCTAAATTCAGTGGCATCCCCCGGTACTTGAAAATTTGATTAAATTTTAATTATTTTATAAATAACTCCCTCAGTTTTGAAGTTATTTTACTAAAATTTTGCACATAACGGTTTCTTAAAATTACCTTAATTATTTCTTAAAATTATCGAAATAGGTTCACATTAACATATAGCTCCAATACAGCTGATTATTCAGATATGTGCTTTTGCACTATAACTCCAACTTCATATCTGAATAATAAATTGTATGTGTGCTATATGTTAAAGTGAACCTATAATAAATTTTTACCTGCTTATTTGGAGGAGTTATAACGCAAAACAACGTCTCTGAACAATCAGTTGTGGAGGATCAAGTTTTTATAGTGTACCGATTACGGTGATTTTAAGAGATAATGAAGGTAATATTAAAATACAATCGTGTGTACAATTTTAGTAAAATATCTTCAAAACTGAGAGAGTTTTTTATGAAATAGTTGAAATTTAAACCAAGTTTCAAGTACCGCTATCTCGAGAAGTGGAGCCAATCGGGTAAATTTGGGGACGTCATTGAATTTAGAAGGCTCCAATAGGTACTAATTGCACATAAAATTTCAAACCAATATATGGTGTGCTTCAAAAGTTGACACAATTAATTTTTCACCTCTTAAAAATTACATAAAAAATTCAGTTGTTTTAAATATTTTTTTGAATTAAAACATCTATAACTCAAAAGTTATGCAACATATTGATTAAACATTTTTTTGAGGCTTCAGGTATACGTCTATGAATTATATCTAAAAGCAACCATCTTGATATACTTAGTTTACAACAATGAAAATAAAACTAAATAACACAAAGGTCACCTGTTTTTAGGATTTGCACATGTACGTATGTATATTATCTTATAAATAAGCTTTTCTCTATCAAATAATTCAAAGTTAAGAATAATTGGGATAAGTTATTGCTAAGTTTAGGTAACATAGATATATACTGCAATTATGCATACATAGAATTTTATTGCACTCGCTGCATTACTGTACAGTAGTACAGTATTACAGAAATCTTTTAGAAAGCTCTGAGGAAGTGAAGTGAAGTATAGCCAAATAAGCAAATGTTTTAATTGCCCTTTCAAAACCATTTACGCAGCCCTCTAGTAGCTATAATGATGATTACGAGTACGCAATGCGCGCGAATCAGCTCAATCGAACCGAAATGGAATTATGACCTAATGCAAAAGTCTTTTATAGGTGCCTGTGATTTAAAGCCCTCAAATCGCTTGAATTTTTTGAACAATATTTATTTTTAATAATTATCTAAGTATTTAGTTTGTTTAATATTAATGCTTTGATTTCGTAATACTACGCAAATAAAGACTAACACCACAACTTAGTACGTGAAAGAAAAGACGTCGTTCAGCATTTAAAAGCATTGACCACAGTTCCATAAAACATCAGTCGGAAACTTGTAATTAACAAAGTAAAACAATTAATTATTTCAAGAGCAGCATTGTAAATCGACTTTTCAAATTTGCAAAAAAAATATAAAAAAATGAGTAAGTTTCAAACTAACAGCTAGCATCCCTGAATAGCTAATCTTAAAGTCTTCTTGTTTCTTCCACTTTTCAATTCAATTAGCCTACAAAGCATTATTACCGTTATTCATGATTTTCGTGACCGTAAACTGCACCTTCAATTCAACCGAGATTTGCTCCTTGCTCTCCAACGGTACTCGCATCAAAGATCCTAGCGCTTGCAACAAATGGATAACGTGCATCGATGGGAAACCATTAAATGGCAGTTGCGCAGATAATCTCTTTTACAATCGCAACACATATTCTTGTGTGGCTGCCGACAGCATAAAGTGTATATCGAGCAACCCATGTGCGGCATTGAATGGCGTCAGCGGCTTTGCGGCCGATCCTTATGCGTGCAACGGTTACTACTATTGCAATGCTAACGGGGTAGGGACTCGTGGCGAATGCGACACAGGCTATAACTTCAATCCGGGTACTACGGATTGTATCAAAGGCTATCCGTGTACGCTGCAAATGAATCCCGATAGTTATTGCAATATCCTCCCCGATGGTGTATTCATTAAGGATCCCCTAAACTGTGTTGGATACCAACTGTGCTGGAAGGGACAAGTATTGAATGGCACATGCCCTGACGGGTTTTACTATGATGCGTCCGCCGGCGACTGCGGTTATGCTTCCAATGTGGAGTGCGCTGAGTCGATGAGCACCACAACTTTGCCACCAGCAACGGAATATTGCAATGAGACGGGCATATTTGTGTCAGATCGACGCAGTTGCAATGGCTATTACTACTGTCGGGCATCGTTGGATAGTGTCTCTGGCATTGAGTTACAATATGGCACCTGTCCCATGGGGAAATTCTTTGATGAGGCAAACGGTGGCGAATGTGTGCCACGTACCGGCATCGTCTGCAAATTCAATCGTTGTGTTGGCCTCGCTAGCGATAAAATCGAGTTGGTTAACGAAACGAATGACGGTTGCCATGGCTATACGCTATGTCAAGATGGCGTGGCGATTGGTAATGGTACCTGTCCTGACAACCACTATTTCGATGAACTAAGCCAGCTGTGCACAAGCGAGGTGATAGACTTTCCAGCGTGTGCCTCTACGTCGTAGGGTGTCACTCAATGAAGATGAATAAAAAGATAATAGGGGTCTTCATGTAAAGTCATAAAGGGATAAATTACTTACATTTATCAGTTTATCCGCAATCTTTCATGAACGCACCTTGGTAAATAATTGCATAAAATTGTTTATTATTTAACTTATATGGCTAGTTGCGTTTCATTCTTACCTCGTCCATTGTGTTTATTTGCTTTATATGTGTTCCTAGGAAAAGTGACCACCTGGCAACCTGTCATGGTAGAATTTTGCTGAAATTTATACAATTATCCTCCAAAATCGTTTGATAAAGTGATAAATTTTGGGAAATCTTACCACACAAAGTTTGACAGTTCATTTATCAAAATGATAAATTTATAATTTTATCAACAGTTTATCACTTGTTATGAAGACCCCTAATAAGTATCACAGACAAATAAAAAGTGCAGCCAAAATTGTAAACCATAGTTTATGATACATATAGATATTATTCTTAAATTTATTTATGGTATTTAATTATTTCGTGTATATTATGTCTATGTATTGGTAGTCGGAAATTTATTCGTCAACCAAAACGACATCCCAGTTTTAACTGAATATCCGCGCATTTATCGATATAATCAATGTCATTAAAAATATTATATCGTTGGCATATGCATGTGTATGTATGTCAGTGTCTATATATATTCTTATACATAGCCACAGGTTTCTTATCTATAGTTATCGATTTAATTACGATTTATCGACATGGTTATCGATATTCTTATTGATATGTAGTTATATATGTATTTCTTATCGTGATTGGCTCGGTTTTTCCAAACTGATTTAAACCGTTTTTTTTTTTAATATTTTTGGCCGTTTTGTTTTAAATCTTGATTTTTCGAATACCGATTAAACCGGACTTTTACAATCGAATAAACCGGGTTATCGCCTAATTTATTTGTATACCAGAATCTTAAAATTCTAAATATTTATTTTATTGAAAATGGAAATAAAACAGTTTTATTAATTTTATATTGAATACTAGAAAATTTTCTAATCCAGAAAATTATTTTATAATAAAAGAAAAAACTAAAGAAAATCTCTCAGTGTTCATTTTTGTTGTGGCGTTTGGGGATTTTTATATTGGGAATAGTGTATTTGGGGATTTTTTTGAAACTGGGGATTTTATTTCTGGGGATTTTGTTTTCGGGGATTTCGTGGCTCTCCCATAATAACACCCATATTTTGGCGCTTACACTTTTGCTAAGTGTTTAGCCGAGTTTCACTAAGTTGTGGTGTGAGTCTTGATGTTATAAGACAAATGAAATGAACACTCGGAGGATTGGAATTGGGTGGGATTTAGTACTCAGCCGCACCTTTTATTTTGAGAAAACCAGGTGGAATTAACAAATGAAACTTGGTCAGGATGTTAAGGGAGGTAACGTCTAAAACATGTATAACTAAAACATATGAACTATACAATTGTTTATAAGTTATTTGTTGTTAAAACTTCTTAAGTCGTTCCACTTGATTTCCTTATCAAAAAGTGCATTTGTCACATACTTTCATATATATAAATGCACATAACACTACATAATAGTTTACACACTTTTATTTTATTTTATCTTGTAGTTATATAAATCTCTTTCATTCAACTTTTATTAACTTGTAAATTACATTAAATTGCACCCATATTTACAATAATACGTGGATGCAAACTGACACATAAGATGTGTTGCCATACTGTACAAAACAAAACATACAAAGAAGGCAACACAGAAAGGAGAATTCTAGTTAGTGAGGGTTATAATCCTTAAGTGCGGCCAAATGCCGCCTACGCAAAAAGGTGTTCCCTGCAAAAGGTGTTCAGTTCCTCTTTTTCAGCAACACAGAAAGGAGAATTCTACTAAGTGAAAATCCGCCTTTATTATTCAAATTTCCAGTCTGGCAGCGCCAAGTTTGATGTTATTTTGCTATCTTATTCAATATAAAAACTATAGGTTTGCTAGAAAAAAAAGGGGCTATTTTTGAAATTGCGGGGGTCCTATTCTATCCCCCCTCATGCCCCCTTTTTCTAGAATTTGCCGTCCGCATACTAAAATTTTCCCTTCGAATTGCCTTCCGAGGGGCGACAGTTATTAAAAATATTTTTTTTTTCTAATCTAGAAGTTTTATGGAGCAGGGATCGAACTCAGGTCCTACGGAATGATAGTACGCGCCTCTGGTCAGTCAGCGGCCGCCCTGATCTTGTCACTTAAATATGTATAACAATTTGTTTGAGTTCTTGCCAATTGAGTTTTTTCTGTGACCGCTGGTTGGTTGTGCAGAAAGAAGATTTTCAGTTACACATTTTAATAACTTTAGGAGCTAGTATTCCAATATTGAAAAATATCAGCACCTCTAAAAAGTCTTCTATATGTACATATCTCTATGCCTTAATTACAATTTCAAATTCCGAAGTTCTCAGCTGACAGTCAGCTGATTTTAAAAAGTTACAATACTACATTTCTTTAAAACATATTATTCACAATAAAAGTACACCTTTAAATTATAATATTTGCATGTTAAAAAAAATCTTGATAGCAAAAAGGTTCTGCTTCGGAAAAAACTTCGGACAATTTTTTTTGCCGAATATGAAAATATTGCCGATTAATCTAGTGGCATCTTACTAAACTCGGTTTAAATTAGAATCAGTCTTCATTCTAATCTAACGGCAGGCTCAGGAAATGGCCATTCCGGCGGGTTCGAGCCACATGTAGAGGGATGTCAGTGGTCATATAAAGAGGTGATTAGTGCCGCCAGGGTATCTTATTCAAATTGAACTGAGCAGTTTAACCTGCTACAATAACCAGAACGGAGTTGTGTAAAAGTATCGCGTACCCCACGAAGCAACTCAAGCTCTTCGTCTGCAATAGAATGCGTTGGTCTCCGATGATAGAATTTAAGGCGTTAGAGTTGACGAAAGTGTTGACTGATTCTCCATAAATGGCTTTCCTACAATACCCTACTATATGTTTGTATAGTCGGTCTGGTTCAGCGGATGGTGTATTCTCATTACCAAGACAGTCAGTTGTGCATGCTCGATGTTATTTCCACAAGGGCTATTGTTTCAGCTATCTAATCTTCTAAAGATCAATGTGAATTTTTCAACCGTTTTATTGGGTTTTACTTGTAATCAAAAGTACCGAGAACTTATTTTGCTTTATTGATTTCTAAATTAAAGCTATACTTATTTTTTGCAGTATTATTATAATTTTGGTAAGTAAATTTTACTTGGAGAGAATATTTAAATAAAACCGGTTTATCCGGATTCTTCTTCTCTTAAAAATTAGGAACCGTTTTTTGTTCAAGTTGCCATTTTTCGAAACCCGGTGCCGAAAAAAGGCAAATAAGTCCCAATTGAAAAATTTTACAGGAGGGGAAGAAAACTTCTTATATTTACAACATTTTGCCTATTTAAAGAAAAGCAAACCTCCCTACGAATCAGATGGACTTGATCTTTATTAAACGATTTCGCACTATTTTAGCCTTATCGAATTTTCGGAGCTTCTTTTGGTACTAGAAATTTTTTCTTTCATTGAATATAAACGAGAAAATATAAAACGAGGACCTTTATCCTGTTCGAAAAGATGCATTTTTAATTTCTCTAGACTTCTGTATTAAAATATGAGTTTTCATAAAAAGTGGACATAGCAACTTTTCACTCGAGGCTAGCGATATATATTCGTAGTTGTATACTGGTTATGGCTGCTAAGCAAAAAGATCCAAATTATAGAAATCGTTACGAGGTTTTCACACACCTTAAGGCTGCAAACAGAGTGAAACCATATACAAATGAATTTCTTTACTACTTCATTATTTCAGTATTCGACTTCAGCTCCAGCTTCGTCTTCCGTCGTCTTCGACTTCGCTTCTACTCTGTTTTCAACCGAAACAATGGCCATTTCTGCATACCTTTTTTTATTATGGCGCTCATTAATACCTTGTTTATACCGACACATAAAGCGCTGTGACCCAGTTCAGTGTGATTCAAAACAGATGCATAAACAAACTTTCAATACGCGTTGAAATTGAAAAGAGTATTGACTCGAATTTCATTTCAAATCGGTTTTTTATTGCTCACATCGGTTAGAAAAAATCAAAACTGGCTGTTTTTCCTTTATAGTTCGGGCGGAGTCGAACATTAAATACCCGGCGCAATATGATTTTCACCTTTCCGAAAGCTACCGCTACATGGTAAGCCGGGGTGTATCAATTTTGAGTAAATTAGCGTCCTTAAATTTCGAAATATTGAAGTTTCAAGCATTTCTGAAATTTACCGTTATATGAAAAGCGGCCGTAATTTTAGTCCGATTTCTTTTATTTCGATTTTGCTTTTATGTGGCAAGCACAATAACCATACCGAGTTTGGTAGAGCGGTTACCGAGATACATTGTCATTTGAGGGGATTTTTCTAAAAAAAATCTTTAAGAAACTATTTTTATTCATAAAAAACTCCATTTTTAGAGGTAGAGGTCCAGCTCACGTAAATCTTAATATTTTTCCGAAATATTTTGATGGACGTCTTAAAACATAATAGATTCCAATGGAAAAATAGTACCGGGTTTTTTTTTTTATGGGTAGTGATGCTGTCGAATGTACATATGTAAATAGGTACATTTAACTGCTCCATAAGCTGACATATATCAGTGATTTAAAATATATATTCATTATATTTACTCCTATTTATATTCAAGAGGGGGTGATTCATTTAATTTAAAAAATTTTGCTTTTAATAAAACATTGATAAGTGGATAAGTCTTAAAAACAATTCATTCTCGTTTTTTGGGCAATTTTTTATTTCTTTATTATAAAATAGAATACTTATTTAGTACACTTTAATGTAGTATCAAAGTATCAAATTTAAACTTCATATTTGTTGTTATTTTCGGTCGCCATAGCCGAGTGATTGGTGCATACTACCACTCGGCCGGGCCCAGGTTCGGCCCTCTGAGATGACTTCTTCTATACAAAATTTCTCACAAAAAACCATCTGCCATTCGGATGCGGGGTAAAATTTGTTTCTATCCATTTGTGTGATAAAATACAGAAGTACT